AACTTTACAAACCCTAAAGAATCACTTAGATTCTAATTGTGAGATTCGACCGCCACAAGACACTAGATGATAAATGCTAGGTGTCAAAGAGGATTTTATGAAACACTTAAGGAAGCTATTAAAAATTCTTAATGACATGAACAATTATGCAAATAATTAGAAGAACTCAACTATATTTTAGCCCAATTACCCACTAATTTATATCATATATACAATATATAATCATCAAACGAATATGCAAACAACGAATATGTGGTAATTAATATGGAAGATTCTATGTGAGAATATCTTATTTTCTTTTCAATAAGACAAACGCGGGTTAGAATATTCAAAAACAAAAGTTCATTATTTTTTAATACACGGGAGAAAATGAAAAAAAACAAAGATCAAATGGTATATATCTCTCATGTTTTATCTTACAAAAAATAATTTGCATGACACTTAGATTAAATGTAAAAAAAATTTTTTGAAATGCCACTTTTCAAAAATACCATCATTTAGAATTTTTTTTTCAAAAGTGTCACTAATCCTTTATATATTAATTGAGTAGATATTTGGTGAAAAAATCATATGTGTTATTCAATGAGGTTTTTAAAGAACATGTCATTTAAATTAACCAATGAAAATATTTCTGTTAAAACTATATGCCATGGTAGAAATCTACATGTTTTTATTAATTTTATAAAATAAATCCATTAATACATGTTTTACATATTTAAGTTTAACTAAATGTAATATTTAGACTTACCATATCATTTTTTTTAAATTAGATATATTAAGAAGTTTTTCATTATTATATATGTAACAACATTATTTATTTGTATATCATATATATAACAACATTATTTATTTGTAGATGATAACTACATTTACAAATATTTTTATATTTTATTATTGAAAAACATATATTTTTCGTTTGTTATGTCCAACAAATTCATATAAATCTAAAAATTCATTTGATTTATCGCATGCTCTATTTACACAAATAATAAAAATTAATTTACACTTCAAATAAATTAAAATAAATAATATTTTTATTAGTTTTAATATTTTTATGTAAAGTTGAAAAAAACATATGACATCAAAATATGTTTGATCAAAATAAATTTATGCACAATATAAATATTATAATAAGTATTAAGATCGATTAAAAACATATTTAAATATTTAATTTTACGCTTGAAATCTAGTATTTAACTATTTCATATGCTGAAATTATATGCAAATTATAACAGATACAACTCACTTGGTTAGAAACTTGGTTGTCCCTCTTTTACTATTTTATTTAAATGTAATAAACTTAACTTAATTATTTCTCTTTACATGTGACATGGTGTATCTGTGACATATGTCATCTCCCTATCTCGACTTCATATTAACATAACTGAAATTATATTTTATATTTAAGTATCATATATTCCATGGAATTTCATTCTGGCCAGGCTCACGCCGATGGAGGATTAAAGCTTTCATTCATGCTTTCGATCGTTAGTAAGTCAACGTTAATTATACGATTAAAAAAATTATCATTAATCTGCTAGACTACAATTATAAAAGAATCCAATTTTTAAACATATATTTGAAAGAAAATAGTTTGACGTGTCTAATCCTCTCTTGGGGTTTAAAACTTTAAATTCCTAGAAGTAGAAGCAAATGGACTTTATTATAGATGAGAGGAGATGT